TCCTCCCCCTCCTCCTCCTCCTCCTCCTCCTCGGGTCGCCTACGGCCCCGGGGGAAACCGTGCATGTCCAGGACCTCAGATCCTCGCTCCTGGGTCCTCTCGGGGAAACGTAAGACTCGAGTGCGTCAGAATTCGGGTTTGCCCTCGCTTTTTGACGAGCGCGTCCGAGATTTTGACGGTCCAGTTTTCGTGGGATGTCTGCAGCGGGAGGAGGGGGAGGAGGAGGAGGAGGAGGAGGAGGAGGAGGAGGAGGAGGAGGAGGAGGAGGAGGAGGAGGAGGAGGAGGAGGGGGAGGAGGAGGAGGAGGAGCAGGAGGAGGAGGAGAGGAGGAGGGGGACGGGGAGGAGGAGGAGGAGTGAGGAGGAGGGGAGGAGAGGAGGAGGAGGAGGAGAGGAGGAGGAGGAGGAGGAGGAGGAGGAGGGACGGGGAAGAGATGGAGGAGGAGGAGGGGGGGGAGGAGGAGGAGGAGGGGGAGGAGGAGGAGGAGAGGAGGAGGAGGAGGAGGAGGAGGAGGAGGAGGAGGAGGAGGAGGAGGAGGAGGAGGAGGAGGAGGAGGAGGAGGAGGGAGGAGGAGGAGGAGGAGGAGGAGGAGGAGGAGGAGGAGGAGGAGGAGGAGGAGGACGGGTCGCCTAAGCCCTTCAAAGAAACCCTCCACCTGGACAATTCGTGGCCATACCCTGAATCTCCAAAGATTCCGTAGGCCACTCCTGAACCTCCGGAGACATCCACGGACCTCCTGGCGGGGGGGGGCATTCTGCGGCAGCTCATGGGAGCCTCCCATACAAATTTGTCGGCTCTGGCGAATCGACGCTGGTCGACGCTGAATCGACGCTACATCGACGCTATATCGACGCGAATACGCGCTCACCGACGCTATATCGGCGCATATCATCCGGCGGTGAACAAACCTCAATTTAGTAAACCACCCTTCAATGAAAATGGCCTAGGACCGAAACCGACGAATCTGGGCCCAGAAAAATGACGGCCGCGACGCCCTCGCGAGCCGAAAACGGCCAATTCGATAATCGACGTGTCAGGGTAGGAGGTCTATCAACCTCCGACTCATCCACTCCCAGACGCTAATGGACGCTGATCGACGCCAAAGACGGAATTGCGAGGAGGCTCCCATGAT